CCCGGCTCAGAATGGCTCCAGCCACACAGGCCCTGATGGCATCACAGGGCAGTCTGGACAGGCAGCTCCTGGTAACTCGGTCATGTTCTCAGGGCCCCAGTTCTCTGCCTTCCTGCTCTGTCTCAGCTCGCCATCTGGGCTGTCGGCAAGGCCGCTCACAGTCACGCAATAACTTGGGCTACAGCCTGGATCATACCACCCCATTCAGAAAATGGAAAACAACCATTCTTTTTTGGTTTTCCTTCTCAGCCCAGGATCTGCTGGGAGACTTTTGCGCCCTTCTCATTGGCCAGAATCACAGCTCAGTCTGTGGCAAGGGGAGGAACCATCCCCGTGGACCGAGGCCCATCAAGCCTCTTGCCAGAGTGGTCCCTCAGCCGGTGCCGAGAGCGCACGCTGGGTGTGCCTGTTTGGTCCTCTCTGTTTGGTTTCTATCACAACTGTGACAAACACCATGTGAGCTCACAGTTCTGTGGGCCAGAAGGCCAGGCAGCCTTGGCTGGGTCCAGTGGCCCCGGTGCTGGCAGAATCAGCAGAATCAGGCCCACATTTCCCTGATGGATGTTCACAGGGTGGTTCTCCATGGTCTGTCCCCTGTGGACCCTTCACCTTCCGCCCTTTAAGCGACCTGACCCGAGACTCCCTCATACCTCATATGTCTCTGACTTCCTCTTCTCTGACCAGCCCAGAAAGCGGCTTGCTTTTGTTTTTTTTTAAGATTTATTTATTTTTATTGGAAGGTCAGATATACAGAGAGGAGGACAGACAGAGAGGAAGATCTGTCTGCTAATTCACTCCCCTAGTTTCCGCAATGGCCAGAGCTGAGCTGATCTGAAGCCAAGAGCCAGGAGCTTCTTCCAGGTCTCCCACGTGGGTACAGGATCCCAAGGCCTTGGGCTGTCCTCAGCTGCTTTCCCAGGCCACAAGCAGGGAGCTGGATGGGAGGCAAGGCTGCCCGGACACAAGCCGGCACTATGTGGGATCCTGGTGTGTTCAAGGTGAGGACTTTAGCCACTAGGCTACCGAGCTGGGTCCAAGCTGTCTGCTTCATAAGGGACTTGTGTGACGGGGCAAGGGTGAGTTCCCTCTGTCACGGTCCATGCCGTGCCATGGAACATCCAGTGTCAAGGCATGACTGCCACCTTGTTCATGGGAACAGGGGTGAAGCATCCTGGAAACTGCTCCCAGAAATCGTGCCTGCCCCTGCAGGAGCCCAAGTGCCCATCCCAACTCCACGGACACCTGCAGATAGAGTGAGGAGTGGAGAGGCGGTTGAGAAGCCGCAGACACATCCTGGGCTGAAGGACATTCTGGCCCCTTACAGAGAAGTGGCCAGGGTGGCAGCCTCACTCAAGGTTGGAACAGCCAGCGAGTGGTCAGGGGCTGCTGTCTTTGCTCAGAGGGGATTTCAAGACAAGTTACAGCATTCCTCAGATACTTCCTGCAAGGACTGGAGCCACAGCAGGAACCGCTCTGATGTCACACTGTGCTCACGTGAACTGTAGTCGGGTTCTGTAGGTTCCAATCACTGAGTGTCTGGGTACCGCATGAACCTGACAGTGGCTTACAAAGGAGTTACCATTGTGGGCGAAATGACTGCCAACTGTTAACCTAAGCTCCAGGTCCAGGCTGCGTTGTTGGGCAGGGCTGGTCTAACGTCCTGTGTGGATGGAAATGCTTTCTCTGTTCTGTAGGGTTGGCCGTGAGCCATGGGGGGATGGGGAGGCATGGGCACTAGATGTGTGGCTGCTGTGATGCAGGAACTTTGTGTTTGATTTAGGTGAATTTGCATTTAAGTAGTCACATGCAACTAGTGCTTGCCATGTTGGACAGTGTAGGTCAGGTTTAAATATGGTGGCATTATCATTGTTGCAATTCACCAATTTGAAGATTAAAATAATAAGATAATATGCAGGGGAAAAGGAGAGATGGATAGGGAGGAGGGAGGATGGAGGACGGGGGCCAGGTGTCCAGGTGCTCATCCCAACTTCCTTCCTGTAGCTGCAGTGACTAACTCTCAGTTGCCAAGCTGCCAAGTGGCCTGGGTGTTTGGCCTCATGGTTAAGATGCTGGCCTCCGGTAGAGAAAGGAATGGTCCCGGTGCACTCCCCATGCCAGCCTCAGGTCAGTGCAGGCTCTGGGAGGCAGTGACAGTGACTCCGGCAATCGGCTCTGTCACCCACGCGGGGGACCTGACCTTGAGTCCCTGCCTTCAGTTTTGGCTCTTGTCCTTACAGACAGGAGGGGAGTAAACCAGTGAACGGCAGCACCCTCCGTCTCCCTGCCTCTCAGATAAATCCAGGGGGCCGGCTGTGTCCCCCTGAGGTGAAGGACAGGAGCGGCTGGCCCAGGATAAACCAGACAGAAGCCAGACCCTCAGTCCTGTCAGGCTGGGGAGGGGCCAGGATGGCTACACTCTGGCACCCGCACTCTGGCACCCGCAGAGACTCCAGAAGGTTTCCCTCCTTGGACACATGCTGGGTCCAATTGGCTGACCCAGCAGCTTTGAAATCCAAGTCCACAGGGATGGACGCCTTATGCTCCCAGAACTAGGCAGCCAAGGTCAAATGAGGGGTCTGGGATGGCCACATCTGCCCAGGAATGTTCTGGAGATTGCAAGGTTGGGGGGAGGACAGCATCTGGGGGATGAGTGGTGCTCCGATACTCGGAGCCCTGCCAGGAATCCAAATCTCCATGCAGAGTTTGCGCAACCTAGATGGCCCCCATACCCGGCGCAGCCCCGCGTGCCATGCTGACCACTTTCACAGAAGGGAGACGGGAGCCCCACTCTACTACTTCTGTAAACACAACATTTGTGCTCAAAGACTTTGCCAAGAATGTGTGGCTATGTGCATTGCAGGGAGGTTGTACTTTTCTCCGCTCAGAATTTCCCAACAACTGCCCCTCATCTTAGCACCGCCTCACGGCCAGCAACAACACTTGTGGGCTTACCCAGCTGCCGAGGAACGCCGGGTCCACGGACGGTCACCCCTTGTCTGGGTGTCCCCTTGTCTGTCTGGCTGTCCATCTCTCTAGCCTCTCTGTACATCTACCCAGGACGTCAGAAGGTTTATGGCAAAGTAGAAAAGGTGAATTTATTTCAATAGAATCAAAATTTGAAATCTGTGTGCACCAGTGGTTGTGAAAAGCTCATGGAAATGCCTGTGATGAAAAACTGCAGCAAGGGTCGGGCGTTGTGGCTCAGTGCATCTAGCTGCAATAGTCTTGTCTGAGCACCCCTTGGCCGTGGCTGCTCCCCTCCCACCCAGCTCCCTGGAATGCGCCTGGGAAAGAGCAGAGGACGGCCCAGTGCTGGGGTCTCTGCCACACAGAGGAGACCTGGACGGAGTTCCTCATGGCCTGCCCTGGCCATTGCAGCCATTTGGAGGGCCAACCAGTGGAATACAAGATCTCTCTATTGTCTTTCAGATAAATAAATCAATAATTTAAGAAATGTACATGGATTTCAATTTTTTACACAAACTTGTGTTTTAGTTGTTTTTTTTTTTAAAGATTTATTTTTATTATTTTTTTCATTGGAAAGGCGGATATACAGAGAGGAGAGACAGAGAGGAAGATCTTCTACCAATGATTCACTCCCTAAGTGAGCGCAACGGGCCGATACTATGCCGATCCGAAGCCAGGAGCCTCTTCCGTGTCTCCCACGCGGGTGCAGGTTCCCAAAGCTTTGGGCCGTCCTCGACTGCTTTCCCAGGCCACAGGCAGGGAGCTGGAAGGGAAGCGGGGCCGCCGGGATTAGAACCGGCGCCCATATGGGATCCCGGGCGTGCAAGGCGAGGACGTTTAACCACTTGCGCCACCGCGCCGGGCCCTTGTGTTTTAGTTTTTAAAAATTTATTTTTCATTTTATTAGAAAGGCAGAATGACATAGGCAAAGATCTGTTATCCTCTGGTTCATTCCCCGGAGACCTACAGCCAGGCCTGGGCTGGGCAGAACTCAACTCGGGTCTCCCTCGGGGGCAGCAAGGCCCCGTACATGAGCCGGCATCCACTGCCTCCCAGGTCTGTAGGACCCAAGGCCAAAGCAGAGGCAAGACTTTAAACCCAGACACTTCAATATGAAATGTGAGCACCCCAAACACTGCCTTGACCATCACACCAGTCCACTCCTCAACTTTGCTTCTTATTATTTTTTTTTCAAATTTATTTAAGAGTTACACAGAGAAAGAGATCTTCCATATACTGCTTTTCTCCCCTAATGGCTTCCAGGCCAAAGCCAGGAGCCAGGAGCTTCCTCCAGGACTCCTACCTGGACCGTCTTCTGCTTTACCCAGCTATGAGCAGGGAGCTGCATTGAAAGGACAGCAGCCGGGACTTGAACTGGTGCCCATGTGGGATGCTGGCATCACAGGCAGAGGCTCTGCATGCTCTTCCACAAAACCTTCAACTTATCTTTTGATTCCATTTTCCCCATAGACTATTTTTATACTGCCCTTATAGTTACTTATCTACCTATCTCTTCTTCTTACTAATCTTTTGGAAAGATTTATTATCATTACTGGAAAGGTAGATCAGATTTATGGAGAAGAGGAGAGGCAGAGAGAAAGATTTTCCATCTGTTGGTTCATCCCCCAAATGGCTACAATGGCTGTTTGCTGAAATTGAGTCGGTCAAAGCTAGGAGCCAGGAGTCTCCTCCAGGTCTCCCACACAGTGCAGGGTCCCCAGGCTTTGGGCCGTCCTCTGCTGCTTTTCCAGGCCACAAGCAGGGAGCTGGATGGGAGGTGGAGCAACCAAGACACAAACCAGTGCTTATGTGGAATCCTGACTCTTGCAAGATAGGATTTAGTCATTGAACCATCACACCAGGCTCCTATCTATCTGTTCTATCTGCATATGTTTTCTTTCTTTAATATATATAACATATATATATATATATTTTTTATTAGTTACATTGCGTTATGTGACACAGTTTCATAGCTCTGGGATTCCCCCACCCAACCCACCTCTCCACGCCTGTGTCTCTTCCTGTATCTACAGGGCAGAGGGTCCCCAACTTCCAACAACTCCCCGGGCCAGCCCAGAGCCAGGAGTCTTGAGTGGGGAACTTGAGGACGATGGGACCAGAGATCCTGACGCTGCCCCGACGGGAGCCTCGTCAGTGGACAGCAGCTCCGGGAGCAGAGCTCTGGACGAAGGTTTGTCCCTGTGCCCAGTCCTGCTGCCAGGCTCACGGCCAAGTTGGCTGCACCCCAGCCTGGCTCAGGAGCTGTGTGCGTTGGCCTCAGCACAGAAGCTGCTTCCCCTGTGGTTGGAAGCCCACGGGCCCCTTTTCCTTCTTTCCCCTGCCCCTTTCCTGGTTGCCTGAAGAACTGGGACCTTAAGGATCTGGTGGGTGTGGAGATAACAGGGCTCACAGGGCACTCCTGGGACAGGTCTTGCATCTCTGTCACCGATGACCATCCCAGCACCCTGCACCTGCCTGTGTTAGTGACACACGGGTGCATCATGGCCCAGCACGGTGAGCCACTGTTAGGGATCCCACACCCTGTATCAACAGTGCCTGGAGTCGAGTCCCGTCTCTGCTTCCCATCCAGCTTCCTGTGGTGGGCCTGGGGTGCCTCCTGTGGGAGGCAGCGGGTGACGGCCCGAGTACGTGGGCTGCTGTCACCCACCCAGGGGATCTGGACAGTGTTCCAGGCTCCTGGCTTCGGCCTGGCCCAGCTGTGGCAGTTACAGCAGTTTAGGGGATGAACCATCAGATGGAAGATCTTTATCTCTGTTATTCTGCCTTTCTTATAAATAAATTTTTTTTCTTTTACAAAGATTTATTTATTTTTATTGGAAAGTCAGATATACAGAGAGAAGGAGAGACAGAAGAAGATCTTCCATCTGCTGATTCACTCCCCAAGTGGCCGTAATGGCTGGAACTGCACTGATCCAAAGCCAAAAGCCAGGAGCCTCTTCCGGGTCTCCCATGTGGGCGCAGGGTCCCAAGGCTTTGGGCCGTTCTTGACTGCTTTCCCAAGCCACAAGCAGGGAGCTGGATGGGAAGCGGGTTTACCTGGACATGAACCATTGCCCAAATGGGATCCCGGTGTGTGCAAGGCAAGGATTTTAGCCACTAGGCTACCACACTGGGCCCATAAATCAATCTTTAAAAGGAGAGAGAAAAATAGGGTGTCACTCTCCCTGTACCCCTGTGTAAAACCCCAGGGAGAAACCCTGGGGCATTGTCCCCTCTGAGCCAATGAAGTGGGGGTGAATGGTGGTGGGCACAGGCCTGGCCTCAGTGGAGCAGCTGGCAGAGGGGGAAGGGGAAGGTCGGTAGGCCCTCTCCTTGGTCATTCCCCGGGTGTGCACGGCTCTTCCCCCTCGTCCCTGACCCTGGTACTATGACTTCCACAGTGGGCGAGCAGCTGTTCCGCTCCGTGGAGGGCCAGGCCGCCTCGGATGAGGAAGATCGGGAGGAGGAGAAATGGCGGGCAGAGCACAGGCCACCAGCGGCCGAGGCCAAGGCCCTGCCAGCTTGGCCCTCCAGCTGCGGGAGTGGGTGAGTGCGGGGGCCGCCAGGGCTCCAGGACCCCATCCCAGCCCTGCAAGTCCCTGAGACACTGCCCAGCGCCTCTGAGGCTGTCCCCTCATCCATCAGGGGGAGACAGGGCCACCCTTGTGCACAGAGATGACCATGCACATGGCCTTAACCCCTGTCACTCGTCTCTCACTCCGTGGACCACTGACCCAAGGCAACTCCAAAGACACTAGTGTCCTGCTCAGACCATGCCCAGCCTGGTGACCTCACACACACTGTCCCAGCCCCGCGGCTGCTGCGTGCCCCACAGTCCCTGGCTCAGTCCTAACCACCAGGATGCTTGCAGTCGCACATGGCGCCAGGGAGCCCTGGGCGCGATTTGAGGCTCTGAGCAAATGCGGTAGCCCTCTTATCCTGGCTCCTGTGTCCCTGCCATGGTGACAAGTGTAAGGAAGAGACAGACAGACAGAAAGCAGCGAGATGTCGGAGGGAGGTAGAGGGAGACCCTGTTGGGAATAAGGGACTAAGCCAGGCAGTGGTTGGAGGAAGAACATTTGGAGAAGCAAAGGCCCTGGGGCGCGTTAGAAGAACTGGGGAGTCACTGCAGAGGGAGGGAGGTGAGAGAGCAGGGTGGGGGCAGGGAATGGGAGGGGAAGTCAGAGAGGTCATGGCAGGTCTGGGGTTCCCTCTGAGTAACACAGGGGATGGGGTTGGGGGGACATAGCCAGCTGTGGCCTGGCTCTGGTTTGAGAAGAAAGGCTGTGCCATGAGGCAGTGCCACCCCCTCCACCTTCCTGACTCTCTGCTCTGCTGTAGGTGTGATGCCCACACAGCCATGAAGACTCACCACGGCCCCCCGGGCATCGCTGACCACACCTGCAGCCCCGGGGAGCTGGAGGCCCCCGGTACCGTGGCACAGCGGCCAAGCACCCAGGGCACTGCCGACCACACCTGCAGCCCCGTGGAGCTGGAAGCCCATGGCGCTGTGGCACAGCAACCAGGCAACCATGGCACTGCCAACCACACCTGCAACCCTGCAGAGCTGAAAGCCTGTGGCTCCACAGTGCAGCGGCCAGGCACCCAGGGCTGTGGCGGAAAGGCACCAGGGACCCCAGGAGAGGTCAGCAGAGCCCCCCGGCCCTGAGGCAGCATGGCAGAGCCCCCGTCCCCACCGTGTCTGTCTCACAGAGGAGCAAGCCAAAACTCAGATGTGATTTCCTTTGATTTCAGTTAAAAGAATTACATTTAGGGTCCGGTGTGGTGGCCTAGCAGCTAACGTCCTCACCTTGCACACACTGGGGATCCCATATGGGCACCGGTTCTAGTTCTGGCTGCCCCACTTCCCATCCAGCTCCCTGCTTGTGGCCTGGGAAAGCAGTCGAGGACGGCCCAAAGCCTTGGGACCCTGCACCCAAGTGGGAGACCTGGAAGTGCTTCCAGCTCCTGGCTTCAGATTGGCACAGCTCCGGCCTTTACGGTCACTTGGGGAGTAAATCATTGGATGGAAGATCTTCCTCTCTGTGTCTTCTCCTCTCTCTATATATCTGACTTTTTAACAAGATAAATGAATAAATAAATATTTAAGAATTACATTTAAAATAAGTGAGGCGGGGGAGGAGGAGGTTTTCCATCTGCCGCATGCCCACAGCAGCGGGCACTCCTTGCAGCAGCTCAGTCTGCCCCTGACTTATATTAACCAAAAATCTGTAGGTTGTGTCTCAGGAACTCACTGGGGTGTGGAGCTGAGGGCAGCTTCAGGCACAGCTGGATCCAGGATTGATGCCAGATTGCATACCCCCCTACACCCAGGGTCGGCCCCACTTCCCCCTCCTCAGCCTGGTGGGGGCAGGGCAGGCCGGACCAGACAGCCTGGAGATGCTAGATGACAACTCCCAGAGGGAAAGAGTCCCCCACCTGCGCAGCCTCAGTGGTAGGGTGGGGGTCCGAGCAAGGGGAGTGAGGCAGCCCGCTGTCCCCGTGTCAGCAGGGTCCTCGCGGGCTGCGGCTCTGCCTTTTCCCCTTGGGGACTTCTCTGTTCTAGAGCAGGCAGAGGCACAGGGCTGCGGAAAAGCTGTTGCTTCGCTGGGCCTTCGCCCCCAGCACGCTTTGATGCCAGTTTGTGAAAACTTGTTGTCCCATAGGTTGTTTACGCAGGTCTGGGGTGCTCCTCCCAGCTCCTTAGCTTACCACTTAGGACAGTGCAGACATGCTTTGTCTAAGACTCCAGGGAGGGCTGGGCACAGGGGTTAAAGACGCCTCCTGGGACGCGCATGTCCCCTTTCCAAGGGCCTGGTTCAACCCCCAACTCCTCTACTTCCCATCTCAGATGGCCTCTGAGAAAGGAATGGGGGTCCAGGGGTCCCGGGAGGGCAGGTAGGGGTGTGTTGAGAGCGCCCTCTCCGCAGGTGGAGCTGCAGCACAGAGGAGAGACCGAGCTGCTGAGGCTGGAGCTGCAGATGGTGGAGACGGAGCGGGTGCGGCTGTCCCTGCTGGAGGAGAAGCTGGTGGACGTGCTGCAGCTGCTGCAGAGGCTCCGGGACCTGGTAGGCCCCTCCCCTGGGGCCTGCGGGGAGGGCAAGGGAGCCGTGCATGGGGCTCCCTTTGTACAAGTGGCGTCCCATTTTACAGATGCAACAGTGGAGCCTCAAAGGAGCCCACCAAGCAAAGGGTACAAGGCTCCCAAGTCATTTCATGAGACGGACATAGCTACAAGACGCCAAGCAAGGGCAGTTACAAGCTCAGCCCACATGAGTGCAGAATACTATGTAAAGTCCCAGCCAACCAAACGTGGCTGAAGAGACGCAGCACAGCCCCATCAGACTTATCCTGGGAATGCAAGGACAGTGCCATGTCACCTCCTTGTACCCCCCATTGCAGGTGCCAGGTGAAGGCCACATGGTCATCACAATAGATGAGGGACAGTCAGAAACACTTAAAAACAAATAATCAGAGAGGCTGATTAATTTATCCAGGAACATACACCGAGTGAGGTGCAGGTGGGATTTGAACCCAGGTCTGAAGGGCTCTGAGGCGGCTCTATGATGCTGGGCAGGGGCGGAGCTGGTTGGGCCCCGCAGCCCTGGGTGTGTCTTCCCACCTGCCCTGGTGTGGCCTGCACCTGGTTAAGCTGTGCATACTGCAAGGAGCTGTGCAAGCATCGTGAGGGTGCCTCCTTCAGTCACACTGCCCCCACATCTCTGGAAACAAGTCCATTTGCACTAGAACTCCTGCAGATCCCAAAAGCTGAGGGTCCCCCGGTCCCTGATGTAAGTTACAATGGCCGCTCGGCTACATTGTTCAGACAATGGGGACAAAAGAATAAGTCTGTGTGTATTCAGATATTTCCCACCTGCGCTGGCTGACTCCTTGGGTAGAACCTGCCGAGTGCCCATGACCTTGGTAGACAAAGCCCACACACAGCTCCCTGCACCCAAAAGGCTCTGAGGGACCCAGTTCAGGCAGCCTAGGGATAGGGGGCCAGGGAGGGTGGGAGGGTGGGGTGAGACCTGATCAGTTCCCAGGGGGCTGCACAAAAGCCCGTGAGCTCTCCAGGTAGCTGGCAACCCCAGATGAGGAGGCAGCAGTTACCGTGTGACCCAGCCCTGCCTCCATGTGTTTTTCAGAACATATCGAAGAAGGCCCTGGGCAGGACACTGCTGAGTGCTCTGGACGCTCGCAGGGACCCCACCCACGGTAGGATGGTGAGGGCGGGGCGAAGGACTGGGAAGCAGGTCTGGGGACCCGGACCAGGAGTGTAGGACTTGGCTGGGGGGCTGCAGGTCAGGGCATGTCATCCTGGCAAGGAACTCCCACCCCACTCACTGCCTGCAGAGCGACCTCACTGTTCATTCTGAAGGGACGAGCTGGGCCACAGAGAAGCCAGCAGGGTGAAACCCGGGGTGGGGCGGGGTGGGACTGTGGGGGTGCTCAGCCTGGTTACTCCAGGGCTCAGTCCAGCCCAGCAGTGTCTCTAACTCCCCACCCAGAGTCCTTACAACAGCCCAATAAGCAAGGGGCCATTATTCCCACACTTAGATGTGGAGACTGAGGCACCAAGTCCTGCAGGCCTGATGAGCTACACTGGGCTGGGAAGCATCTGACCTGCGGGCCGGAGAAGGCCCGAGAAACTGCATGGTCAGGCCCCGCCAAGGCAACCGCAGGCAGGACTGGAAATTCAGCCAGGCACAGCTGGGTCATTGTAGCGTGATCGTTGTGTATGGCCTTCAAGTGACACAGACATCCAGACGGCCCCAGGCAGAACAAAGTGGGGACCCTGAGACAGAGCTCAGGGGGCAGAGTTCCCACAGGACCATGCCCGGCGTGGCCAGCAAGAACCTACTGGGGCCACTTAGCGATGGGCAAGTGGGCCTCAGTGGGCATTGGTGACAGGGATCCGAGACGTGCAGGGCCTGCGTGGCCCCGGCACTCGGGGAGGGAGACCCTGTGAGCTGACACAGCACCCCACCCTCCCCGTTGCTTCTCTCTAGATGTGAGCTCCAGTCCCGCGGCCACCCTGGACGCCCTACACCAAGCCCTGGCCAGCTGCGAGCTCTTGCGGAGACGGCCCCCCAGCCCGTGCCCTTCAGCCCCTGTGCTCCCCAACCCCCTCATCATCTCCTGCTGAGCAGAAGTGTGGTCTCAGCCAGCGCCCCCTGTCAACAGCCTGCCCAGGGCCCTGCTACCTGGACATGCCCCACACCTATGCTGCACAGGACAGACCTACCACGTAGGTGCCGCCAGCGCTAACCTGAAGCAGAGTGCAATGATCCCCCTACTGAGGAATCTGCGCGCAGCCACAGGGGTGCAGCTGGGATACAGGGGTCACCCCAGTCTGCTCAGCCTGAGCCACAGTGGGGAGGGACTGGGGCAGGGGTGGCCACGGGGGCCTCCATGGCACTGAGGGTCTGGAAGGTGATCTTGCAGGGAGGAATCCAGGGGCAAGGCACGAGGGGGGTTAATAGAGACCACCACCACCTGGAGAAAGCCAGAGAAGAGACTCGTCCCTTCCAAAGAGAGGAACCACATGGGGTGACACCCCCTCACCCCACAGAAACTGGACAACCAAGAGGAAGAGGTGACAACACCCTCCACAGCCTGGGACTCTGCACCCCAGGAGGCGGTCCTCGGAGCCATTCTCACACGGAGAGTGGGGAAGCATGTGGCCGGCACACACTGCCTGCGGGAGCAGTTCAGAGGGGACGGGGCGTGAGGTCAGAACCCGACCCCAGGTGAAGGATGGAAGGTCCTTAGAGAAGGAAGGAGTGATGTTTCTCATGCGACAGCAGGAGCATCTGTGCGCTGCGTTCCAAGGCTGGTGCACGGCACTACGACGGGGATTAGGCCTGCTGGTTACTGTAAGGTACCTGGACCAGCCGTGGAGCCGACCAGTGCTATGTGAGAGCGCGCCGGATTAGTTGCGGAAGCGTAATGCAAATGGTAGAGTAACCACTAAGATAAAGTTTAAAAACAGACGATCCGGACGCTGAGAGAAATCGAGATTATATGAAAGGATCCGTTAAGGTCACAAAAGGCAGAGGAGGAGCGGAAGGCGCCAGGAAGAGGCGGTACAGGCCACACCCACACACGACTGACGTTGACCCAAGAGATGGACACATGGTCCGTGTTCTGCACGCCATCACGAGTTCAGGAGGTGTTCAGCTGCCGGGCCGTGTCCAGCCTGGCGCAGGGGCTGCATGAAGCACAGACAGGGCGGGTTTCAGAAGAAGAAAACCAGAAGGGGCAAAAGGGAGCAAGGCCCCCCTAAGCCACGGCAATGGAGGAACCAGCGGCCCAGCCACGGAGGCCTGAGCCGACAGCGGCAGGGAGGAGCGTCCAGGTCATTCCTGGTGGAGACCCAGCGCCCTGCGGTAGAAACAGCGTCGCCAGCAGGTGGAAATCAGGAAGGACCAGGGCCTGGCCAGGGGCGCCATGGCCAGCTGCCGCTGACATGCCATGTCACGCAGCAACGGCAGCATCCGCCTGCTCCCCAGAGCCACGCAGCGCCTCGCCGCAGCGCACCAGGCACATGTGAAAGGTGGGGTGCCACAGAGTTCAAGAACAAGGAGTGAGCCGCACACCAGTGACCAAGAAATGACTGCAAACTCTCCAGATCATGCAGGGCTCAAGGGAGAAACCTCAAGAGAGATGCTTAAAATGCAAATATCATGTACACAATTGATGTGAAATCGCACAAGAAATTATAGAGAAATGCATCCTTTTGAATACATGTTCTTAAAAAGTATTTTTTTAAATGCTGTAAAATCGATCATGTGAACTTTCCCACGGCAGCAAACAATACAAATGAGGAAACGTGGATGAGAAGTGGGTGAGAAGTCAAACAAGCACAAACGGAAAGGCGCGAACACAGCAAACAAGGAGAATCAATAAACCTACATCTGATTCTTGGAGGCGATCCATAGAAGGATGAGACCCTCCCCGGAGCATTAAAGAAGCAGTGAATAATGAACAGAGGGGCGGGACATGAGGGCCTGCAGCACACAGCACAGAGGAACAGCTTCACGGATGTGACGCCTGACATGAAATGAACGCATTTCCTGAAAGGCAGAGAATCCCAAGAAAGGACAGATCACAGCTTTCCTGGAACATCTAAAAGTTTTGTCAATCCTGCAGTCCCTTAAATGTATGATTGCCTTACATGTAAAAAAATACATATGCCTTCTTTGCTTATTAAATACTTCATGGTTAAAAAAAAACTGGGCCCGGTGTGGTACGCTAGTGACAAAAGTCCTTACCTTGAATGCACCAGAATCCCATATGGGTGCCGGTTCTAATCCCGGCAGCTCCACTTCCCATCCAGCTCCCTGCCTGTGGCCTGGGAAAGCAGTGGAGGACAGCCCAAGGCCTTGGGACCCTGCACCTGTGTGTGGGAGACCCGGAAGAAGCTCCTGGATCCTGGCTTCGGATCGGCTTAGCTGCAGCCAACACTTGAGGAGTAAACCAGCAGACGGAAGATCTTTCTATATTTCCTTTTCTCTGTAAATCTGCCTTTCCAGAAAAACCTAAGCAAAACAAGTAACGGTCCTCTTAGCCCCAGCAGGTCATCGTCGTCTTGCTGGTGGAGGGACTCGCGTGGACAGTGCTGGCCACGGACTGAGCAAGGGGCTCAAGGCTGGGCTGATGGGCTACTCTGCCCAGTCATGTGCCCTTCCCTCTGTGAGAGATGTCTCTGAAGGGTGGACTTCTTCCCAGATTGCACGGGGAAAGAGATCTTCCATCTGCTAGTTCACCCCCAAATGTCCTCCACGGCCAAGGCTGGACTGAAGCTGGGAGCCCAGATCTTTGCCTGTGTTCTTGACGGGGGGAGGGGGGGCAAGGCCTGAGCCCTAGAGCCATCCAGTGCTGCTCGCCAGGGTGCACCTGAGCAGGAAGTAGCCCAGAAGCAGAGCCAGGGACAGGGGAGGCCTGGGCAGCGCCTACATCCAGGAGGAGCCCCTGCTGCCTTAGGGCAGAGAGAACTTCTTTCCAAGTTGACATCAATTCTGCCACTGTTGGATCAGCCCGTCCTGGTCTGTGCTCCACGGCTGTAATGGAATGCTCAGAAAGAGGTTGGAAAGCTGCGCTCACAGATCGGCAGGCTGAGTCTAAGGCAGATGGCACGAGGTGGGTGGCAGAGCCCGGGAGACCACGTGGCAAGATGGGAAACCAGACAGTAGGGCAGAGGGTGTACCCAGGCCTGCTGTGCCACCCAGTGACCCTTCCTCAGGCAGCGCCCCCTGGAACAAGTCATCTCACACGAAGTCTGTCTTGAACTCCACTCTGCGAACCCAGTTTTTATTTATTTATTTATTTATTAGAAAGGCAGATATACAGAGAGGAGAGACAGAGAGGAAGATCTTCCGTCTGATGGTTCACATGGCTGGTGCTGAGCCAATCCAAAGTCAGGAGTCTCCTCTGGGTCTCCCACGTGGGTGCAGGGTCCCAAAGCTGTGGGCCGTCCTGGACTGCTTTCCCAGGCCACAAACAGGGAGCTGGATGGGAAACGGGGCCGCCGGGATTCGAACTGGCACCCATATGGGATCCCGGTGCGTTCAAGGCGAGGACCTTAATCTCTCTGCTGTTGCTCCAGGCCCAGAACCCAGTTTCTAACATATGGGCCTGCTGGGACACAACACAACACAGTGGAGCCTACACCTTGGTGCCTGTTTCTAAGGGACAGTGGACCTGGAGACACCCGCGGCCACCCACGGCTTCTGTGGTCACACAGCCTCCCTTTGCCCCCTTGTCCCCCTCCCATGTCACCCCAAGGCTTCTGTCCTTGTACTGAGCTCCAAGGCCTCTGGCTTTTTTCCGATCTAAGTCAGAGCCTGGCTACACATTTGGCCCAGGCCTGGTTCTCCTTTTCCATCTAGACCACTAGACCCCACTCCACCATCAGCCACAAAGCCATCTCACTTTCCTCTCCTTCACTGTTTGCTGGAGCAGCCCTTTTCCATGCCCTTCTAGAACCTTCCCTTTGTATCCCTAACTTGGTGGAATGCATAAAGTAGCTTAGGGCCTGTTTCTGCCTCCACAAGCCCCTTCCTCCCTGGGTGGAGGTGTTTCTGGCTTCTGATCTCCCTGGGGAGGATTCCACGGCAACTCTCCCAGGAACTCTGGAGAAGCCCCATGCCAGTGTTCTTGTCTTGGGGCTAGGAGGCCCAGCAAGACGCGGCAAAGTCACAGAGGGAGTGAACACCACGGGGAAGAAGTGGGCTGGTAGGCACAGTCACTGCAAACCTTCAGTTTGTGAAGAAAAAAAAAAGTCTGCATCTCCTCTCTCCAGTAGCTCCTCAGTAGCTTCCCAGCACGGAGCAGCAGGGCAGGCCGGCCCCGTGCCGGTAAACCTCAGGAGCACGTGGTCCCAGTCCCTCACAGTCAGCCAGGAGACAGGCAGACAGGCCGTCCCCACCTGCTTCGGCAGCTCCCACATTCCCCCTGAAACCCAAACACAGGCAGGCAGAGAAGGGGCAGGTGCTGCGCCTGGAGGGGCCTCCACCAGCATCCCCTGGCAGACTGCCTAGCTGGGCCCAGGCTCTGGCTTCCCACTACGGAGCACCCTGCCAGAGAGCAGGTCAGGCTCACGGGGCTGGATCCCTGCCTGCCTGATGGGAACCTGGACCAAGTTTCCAGCTCCCAGCTTCAGCCTGGCCCAGTCCCTGCCTTTACAGGCCTTTGGGGACAGTGAACCAGCCAAGGGGAGCTCTTCTCTCCCCACATTCCCTTCCTTCTTCCCTCCCAAGGAACTATAGACAACGTACCTTGTGAACACAGATGTGAAAATTCTTACCATGAGCAAACCCAGCAATGTGTAACAAGAATACGCCACAACTAAGCAGGGTTTATCCCAAGTACACAAGAACCAGTCCAGGGGATGCATGACGCCCAAGGGCTCGGAAAGAAAAATCTCACAAACACACGGCAAAAATCCAACACCCATTCTTAACCGAAAACTCGTCTCGGACCAAGCATGAACGCGAACTTCCTTGACTTCATAAAGAACATTGCCGAAAGCCCTGTAGCTAACCAGGTGTTAACCAGCCACTTGGTGTACCAGCATCCCGTGTGGGCACAGGGTCATGTCCCGGCTGCTCCACTTCCCATCCAGCTCCATGCTTCTGTATCTGGGAAAACAGGGTAGGGCAGGCTGGGGCTGGAAGGAGTGGGGAGGCTTAGGGAGCAGATAGTGTGGGCGGGCACAGACAACCATGAATGAGGCAGGAGGACAGGAGGGGGACCATGCGGACCTGCTGTGTGTCCGCTGTCCCATGACTTCACCTACAAGACACGGCCTCAGACTCCAGGACAGTGGCCACGCCAGGGCCCGCCCCAGTGGGGAGTGCTGTGCAGCCACGCTGGCCACGTGCCACTGACGCTGTCAGGGAAGGAGGGGAAGGGGCTGTAATTCCACAATGGGAAACAAGAAAATCCAATATTGGTACAGAGACCTTATGTCTGCCATTCTTCTTTTGACTTTTTTCAAGTTTCTAATTGCCCAACTGGCTTGAAAAGCATTGAAAATGTTTTCTGGTAACTCTCTTTCTCACCTTCTAGAAAAAATAAAATCAATCTGTTGATTTTAGATAGCTGGAACTATCACCCCATCACTCCGAAAAAGGTTCTGTAATGTCACATGGTGGCCACTAGGTGGCAAGCACACACACGGAATGCAGGTGACGGTTCCAAGCCTGGGATCGAGAGTTGGAGTGGAGCTTGGTTCCCGGGTGTCCCACCACCTCTGTGAGGGACCATGCAAGCTGGCAGGCTGGGCGTTGAGGGTCATCAGGCTGGGGTGTGGTTCTCAGAGGGTATGGGACTGACTACAGCTTCTCATCTTGAACCCTCTGGCCTCATCCACTTAGTCCTCTCTGGCCAGCACCTCCCACTCCCGCCAAGGCCCCCGCAAAGCACTTCTTTGGGGAGGTGAGTTCTTTGATGTGCCCAATTTGCAGCTGAGCAAAATGAGGCAGGCTGTGGCCAAGACTATTGTCTAATGTCTGAGGACACAGGGCACGGAACAGGAAGTGCACAGGACAAACACAGTGAAGACTGAATGAGCAGAGCTCTGGGATAGCTGCACATCCCGTGAAGGTGCCCCACACTGCTGACCCACACGCCAACGTGACCAGGGACTGTGGCACAGCAGGTTAGCTCGCTGCAGCACCAGCATCCCACGTGGGCATGCTTTGTGCCCTCCTCCTCCTCTGGTCCAGCTCCTTGCTGACGCTCCTGGGAAGGCAGCGAAGGGTGGTCCAAATGCTTGGGCCCTGCCCCCACAAGGGGGGCCTGGATGGCACTGCAGGCTCTTGGCTCCTGCAGCCACATGGAGATTGAGCTGGGAGCTGTGTGTGTGTATGTGTGTCTCCCTCTAATTTTACCTTTGTGATAAGTATATCTTTTTTTTTTTTTAATGGTAAGATGGAAAGTCACATGTCCCACAGTAACAAAGATCAGAACACTGGGATTTGGGGTGGGGAGGGGGCACCCTCACAGGCAGCAGTGAGAAGGGGCTGGGCAGGGCCAGGTTCCCTTCTGGAAGTGGGGGAAGATGAACACTCCAGGGGTTGGAGTTTACTGCTGGCTGAAGTGGGAGACCTGGCCGGGCTGGAAGTTGGGACCTTTAGGGGGATAATGAGTGAGCAGAAAATGGGGCCGTAGGAGAGAGGCCATGGTCCAGGTGGGTGGACAGCAAGCAGGCGAAGCTGGTGGCCGAGGGCATGGAGGAGCTGGGGAGAGCGGTCCTCCTGACTCTGGAGCCAGCTCACCCCAAGACAGACAGTGCTGGACGGAGTTGGCTCACTCCTAGGAGACATCTAAGAGGGACTGGGTGCCCGGGTCTGGGCTACAGTTGGAAGTGAGGCAGTGGCCACAGCTGGACCAGTGTCCAGACAGAAAAACAGATGCAGGGTGTGGGGGTGGGGCGTGGGCTTCACGCTTTGGGGGCTGTGGGGCAAAGGGGAGAAGCCGTGGCGGGAGAGGGGTTTGGGCAATGGGTGCCTGAGATACAAGGACAGGATTTTTCCAGAATGAAGGGAACGGGACGGGTACATCAGCTTCTTCTCCCATGAGTCCTCTCCCTCGGGCTCTGCTGGCCAAAGGGTCCTTGCCTGCCAGGATCTTCCCACACGTTCCCAAAGCATTGTAATGCCCAGGGGTACTGAGGCCTTTGGGGGCCCAGCCCCTCCACATGTGCACATTGTGCTGTCTGCAAACCCTTGCTTGACTCGGTTCATGCTAAGGGTTAGCATCAAAGGCACGGGGTGTGTTGATTCAAGATTTAATTACTTACAAAACTTTGCTGCTACGTTTAATTTTTTTTGAGACTTTCTTTTTATCTATTTATTTGCAAAACCACAGAGAGTAAGAGAGGTCTCTCGTCGGCTGATTCACTCCCCAAATGGCTGCAACGGCCAGGGCTGGAGCCTGGAAACCCCTCTGGGTGGCTCGCATGGGTGCCAAGGCACCAGGGACTTGGGCCACCTCCCACTGCTTTCCCAAGCACGTTAGCAGGGAGCTGGAGGGAAGTGGAGCAGCCACGGCTAGAGCCAGTGCTGCCACATGGAGCTGTTAACTCCCTTTGCCTACCACCAGCCTGCTAGGATTAATTGTGCTTAGTATTTTAGTCAACTAAATGCATCATTAAATGTAAGAACACATTTCTTTCGTATGGGATCCCGGTGGATATAAGGTGAGGACTTAGCCACTTGGCTATTCTGCTGGACCCTGCATGTATTTGTTAAAAGGAACCTTAGGGACAGGCATCAGGCCTGGCTGTCAGTTAAGTCGCCTACATTCCACATTAGGATGTGAGGGTTTAAGTCCTTCCACTTCCGGTCCCAGCTTCCTGCTAATATGTACCCAGGGAGGGCACTGTGATAGACCATGCAGCTGGGCTGTCGCCCCCGCAGGACTGAGTTCCTGGTTCCCGGCTTCCGTCGGACCCAGCCCTGCCCGTGGGCATTGAGTCAGGTAGCAGCCCAGCCAGTGGTACTCTCTGTCAGGCATGGTGGCGTAGTGGCTAAAGTCCTCGCTTTGCATGCGCCAGGGCCTCATATGGGCACTAGTTTGTGTCCAAGCTGCTCCACTTCCCATCCAGCTCCCTGCTTGTGGTCTGGGAAAGCAGTCAAGGATGACCCAAAGCCTTGGAATCCTGCACCTGTGTGGGATGCCTGGAAGAAGCTCCTGGCTCCTGGCTTCAGATGGGCTCAGCTCCAGCCCATTGCAGGCACTTGAAGAATGAACCAGCAGACAGAAGATCTTCCTTTCTGTCTCTCTTCCTCTCTGTATATCTGACTGAAAGCAAGCAAGCAAGCAAGCAAGCAAACAAAGCTTCAAAACTGTTGAACTATCAAAACGACTTGAGCCGTGCCCTCGGAGCATGCCCCACGCTGGGGACCCTGGGATAGGTAGGAGGTTGGGTGGGGCTTCTCCAGATTAAATTATCTACTTAGGTGAAATGCAGCATTATCAAGAAGGAAGGAGAGAGCTTCTCCATCTGCTGGTTCACGTGCCAGAGTAGGGCCAGGTGGAAGTCGAGCTTCATCCGGGTCACTCACATGGGTGCAGGGCCCAAACACTCCAGCCATCTTGCATTGCTATTCCAGGCACATTAGCAGAGACCTGGACCAGAAATGGAGCAGCTGGAAATCAAATTGGTATCATATGGGATGTTGGCATTGCAGGCAGCAGCTTAACCCTCTATGCCACAACACCAGCCCCAAGAGGGAACTTTCCTTCGACTAGCATCAGTGGAAAGTGATGTCGTTCCCCTCGCAGCACGTAGGACACGTGAGTCTAAACACTGCCAGTGAGGCAGAAGTGTCACATTCCACGGGGAGTGTGAGGAAACAGCAAGTGCTGGGCAGGGGCTGGCACCAACAGGAGGCCCTATCTTGACCTCTTCAGGAAGATCAGGAGAACCTGATCACCATGCTCCCCCAGGACCCCCAGCCTGCAGGGGGAGCCCCCCAGCCTACACTTTGGGACCAGGCAGGATGGAGGTTTTTGCTTCCATTTCAAGGAGAAAAAAAATGAGAGGAACACAGAGCGGAAGTGGGTTCTCCTCCCGTGCCCTCCCGGACCCAGTTGAGGGTCTCCTGAGGCCGCGGACTGGAACCCGCCGCGGTGCAGGTGAGGCAGGACATGCTTGCAGAACCTGGAGTACTCCTGCTGTGTCCAACGCCCCCAAGCCCTGGCACCCCAGAACCTCCTGCCTCTGGAGATAGGGCCAAGTAGGGCTACAGCAGGGGATAAGCTGGGCTATTTTCATCACTTCCTTCCGCCCACTGGTGCAGCAGGGGCTGCTGCTGCCTCCTGCGGCATTGCCGGAACCGCCAGGGCAGGCACAAAAGGGCACCCTGACAGAAGCCTCAGGTAAGCAGCCTCCTTGTCAACCCACAGGTCCCACCTCCACCATGTGCACCTGAGGCTGGGGTGGAGGGACAGGCTGGTGGCACTGGGCCCACATAAAGAGCAGGGTGCTGGTGGCATGAGGGTGGAGGGGGCTGTGCTGGGGCAGGGCTGAGTCCACTCAGACGTGGCTGGACTAACCTGGGCCTCCTCTTCTCCAATTAGCCTCTCCGCGTTGCCTCCGCGGCTCATTTTGGCTTTAGGAACCCCAGGGGGAGAAGAGTTCCAGCCTCGTGGGGGTAGCCGTTGGGGGTGGCACCCTCAGCATGGGCCGGGCACAGACTGAGAACCAGGCTGCAGGGCCCCAGTGGCCAGGACTGGGGATCAATTAGTAGCTGATGGCTTCCCCACTCCTAAGCTGGGCTGGGGTCCCTGCCTCCCCCAGCACTGTCCTGCGTTGTCTTGTGAGGACCGGCCAGGCCTGGGTTGAGTGCACGCTGCCAGGCCCTCTCTAACTCCCAGCTGCTCTCTCCCCCACTTTGTATAGCCTGCCTGCCCAATGCCTGCCTTGGGGGTGCTGATCCTTTTTTGGGCTGTGGCAGAGGCCACGGAGAACTGCCCTGCCCTGTGCACCTGCCAAGCTCTGGAAACCATGGGGCTGCACATGGACTGCAGGGGGCGCGGACTCACAGAACTGCCCGCCCTGCCGGCCCACACCCGCCAGCTCCTCCTGACCAACAACAGCCTGCGCTCTGTGCCGCCTGGTGCCTTCGACCACCTCCCGCAGCTGCAGGTCCTGGAGCTGGAGCACAACCCCTGGCACTGTGACTGTGGCCTTACCTACCTGCGCCTCTGGCTGGAGGACCGTGCGCCCGACACCCTGCCACTCATCCACTGTGCCAGCCCGGAACGTGCCGCCCGCCGCCCGCTCAGCCAGCTGACAGGCTTTGAGTTGGGCAGCTGTGGCTGGCAGCCACAGGTATCCTGGGCCTTCCCGAATATCTGGTGGGACGTGGCCCTGGGGGTTGTGGCTATCCTAGTCCTGGCCCTGCTGGCTGCCCTGCTGTGCACCTCCACAGAGCACCTGGAGTGAATCCCAGTACCCAGGGCTGTCCCCGGCCACAGGGGTAGGCCCTGGTCAGCCTGGAGGCCCTGAAGCCTGAATTAAACGGTCTCCTCAGCCCTTTCACTGAAGCTTAGGTACTGTTTTTATTTCCTCTTGGCACCCGAGTGTGACTCCTAGGAACCAGGGATGGGCTCGTGGTCATCAGATCTTGCTCAGGCTCCTGGGAAAATGAGCCACCCCATACCTGCCAACCATCACTCGGACCCTACAACCTCCACACCTCCAAACCTCTCTCTGCACCTGCCCTGTCCCCAGATCCTGGTTCCTATGACCTTCGTCCTCTGTGTCACCTGCTTCCCACAGAGGCGACCTGGGATGCCCAGGCTGGCCACACCTCATTCTTTAGCCACTCCACAAATGGCACAGGCATTCAACTGATACACAGAAGTGCACAGTGGCACACCCTGGACCTCATACTGGATTCGGGGGCAGAGATTTCCGCTGAGATGCACATCACTTTGCTAGCCTGGGCTCTGACACTCTGTCCCAGCCTGGAGCTCACACAGCTCCCCTCTCCTCCTCCTCTCCACTCTTCAGAAATCCAGCAAGCTCCTCCCTTTCGTGTGGCCAACAGCTCTTCACAGTGCTGGCTGGGTGGCCCTGCGGATCTGAAGGAGTCCCCGGGGAGACTGAGTGAGCGCCAAGGACACCTGCACCATTCTCACACTTCTGAGAGGCTGTAAATCTTTCATGTAGAATCTCTGAATGTTAGCCACTAAACCAAAGCTAAAACAAAACAAAAAACCTGTTGCAGACAGAACATGGCACTGGGCTGCACGGAGTCCATGGGCTGCAGAATCGACACCACACCACTGCCAACCGAACCTGTGCATGGTGGGGTGTGGAGCCCCTGGGGATCCTGCAAACGCCAGTGAGGAAACTCTTCCCTACAGGGCAAGCGGGGAGGCAAGCCCAGCCAGCCATCAGGCTGTCTGCATGGGTTTCCTTCTCACCTGAGCTTCCAGAAATTTCTGGGTGGGCACTTAGTTAGGATGCCACTTAGGACACCAGTAGCCAGGTGGGGGTCCCTGGGGTGCTCGGTCCTGCCTAGGAGGCAGTCACCTTGGGGAGGGCCCCCGCCACAGACACGCCTCTCTCACGGGTTTCCATGAGGGGCCAACTCGCTGTCTCCTGCCACCCATTAACACCATGCGTTGGGAATGGCACTTCCACATGTGAATTTAGGGAGGGGGGCACACTCGGACTCCAGCATTGCCTCCATTATGCCCACTATCGCCATCCCAGGCCAGCATCGCAGAGCCACCTGCACCTGCCCCAGCCTCAGTGCTCCAGCTACTATACCCATGGTCACAGCTGCCCCTTGTAAGATGCAATCAGCTATACAAGCCACACCACCACCACCACGATCAGCTCGCCCTCCCCTCCCCCACGCCACTCTTCCTCCCTCTGTTGCCCCGGCCCCAGCTCAGCCTGGACCTCCGCTCCTTGGCCCACCAAGCCCCCTATGGCTGTCACAGAGCCCTGGGTTCTGGTTGACCACCCCCCCATGGCCATCAGAGTCCTGGGTAGTTAAGAGGACAAGAGGCTTACCCAACTAGCGGGTATGAAGGCTGAAGGTCCAAGGTGCAGCAGCCCCGTGGGTTGGTCCCTGATGGTGGAGGGGGGCCTCCTGGTGGGCACTCGTACGAGGAGAGGACAAGGATGGGCAGGCATAGCCACTGCCTGGCTGCGCTCTGGCAGGGGCCCAGCCAACCACTGCAACCTCTTCCGGGTGAAGTCTTCCATGACCCAAGGTGCTCCCACTAGACCCCACCTCTTAAAGGTCCCGTCCCCTCCCCCATGAGACCACACTAGGACCAAGCTCCGAGCGCAGACCCTGGGAGCAGCCAACTGTTCTTGATGAACCCTCACCACTGCCACTGTTGACACCACGAGTGTCATACTCCTGCTGTGGACAAAATGCCCATGGTGCCACCATGAAGTTGTCCTCGTGTCACCAGGATGCCACCCTCATCAGCATCTCTCGATGTTGTCTTTTAAGCCCTCCTCACACACGAGCCTGCCATGGTGCGCATCCTGGCTGTGGGAACCGCCCCTCCTGGGCTCAGCCCAGGGACCCCAACGGCAGAATCCCCGGCTCTGAGCCCTTTGGCAGGTGGGAGCAGAGGGCAGGGACAACTGTGTGGATGTTGGTGGCCCCACTGGGAGGACAGGAGGAACACAGCGTGCCTGCAAGCATTCACTGTCCAGAACCTGCTCCCCAGCCCACCCATGTGCTCCAGCTCCTGCTGTCTTCCTGGCTACGCCACGGAGCATGCCCTGAGCCCTCTGCCCTGGGTCACCACAGACCAAGTCAGCACTGGCCTGAGGGAATAAGACAGCTTGTCCACTCACAGGCAAGACCCCTCAGGCCAAGGGAAGAAGCCAGAAAACTCTGAGATGTCACGGTGACCCTGAGCCACCCTGGTGCACTAGGTAGTCTGTTTAGAGCAGTTACTGCAGGAGCTGGTCAAATGTAGACCCTGCTGGAAGTGGAGGCAAGTTGAGATGCTATGCTTGGGTGCCCCAAGTCAGCTGGCTCATGAACCACATGGCACAGCAGGGTTGAAGTAAGCAGGCACCACACCCTCACCACCTTCCTTCTCCCAGGAGCTAAGGTATCTAACTAAGCTAAGGTACCTAACTCCCTCCCATTGGGACCCCAGCCTCCAGGGGTTGGTCTGCCAAGGGGCACACACTGCGGCACTTCCCTGCACTTGGAGGAGAGAGGGAAGTGCAGACAGCAGGGTCCCATCTTGAGAGAGAGCTGAGGGCTGCAGCCCCTCTGCTGCGCTCAGCCTCCTTGCCCAGGGTCTCAGCACACTTGATGAAATCAAGAGCCAGGGCCCAGTGGCATGGCATAGCAGCTAAAGTCCGCGCCAGGATCCCATATGGGCGCCGGTTCTAATCCCAGCAGCAACTCCGCTTCCAATCTAGTTCCCTGCTTGTGGCCTGGGAAAGCATTTGAGGTCGCCCAATGCTTTGGGTTCCTGCACCTATGTAAGAGACCCAGAAGAGGTTCCTGGCTTTGGAACCTGGCTTCTGGTCGTTGCAGTCACTTGGGGAGTGAATGATCAGATGGAAGATTTTCCTCTCTGTTTCTCCTCCTCTCTGTATGTCTGACTTTGTAATAAAAAAAGAAAGAAAACAAGACCCAGAGAGGAGCGAAAACTTGGGCAGGGTCTGCAACCAACCGGGGCTGAGCCAGGCTGCCCTATCATGTCACTATCCCAGTGCCAGGCTTGTCCTGTGGGTGTAGCACCAGCTGGCCTCTGGAGTGAAGTGACAGGGCAGGTCCTGCTGAGACCCCCTCTTACCGGAGCCTTCTTGGTGCCTGGCAGGTTTCTTTGTGCTGGAAACAGTGGTGAGCAGAAATTCACAGATGCTATCTGCATCTCTGGGAAAAGCTGAGGCCCATGAGGGATGCTGGGCCAAGACTCCCCAGCCACAACTCACTTCAGGAAAGCCGAGGCAAGCCCAATCTAGGATCCCCATTCCTTAGGCACTAACTACTTCTTGCCCAGAGGGTCATGCAAGGCCTGTGGACTGGCACTGGGTATACTCCTGGCCTGGGGTTGTCTAGGGATGCTGGCCAAACAGGTGGCACTATCTCCTGGGGACATGGCCACCTGGGCGGCCTCTGGGCTTGACGGTGAGAGAACCAGTCCTGGGTGCCGCTGGCTCATTAGACAAACCTGTTTAATGGCTGAGAAATGTGTACACTCTGGCTCTGCAAAGTTTCCGTAAAGGCAACTTTTCCTTGTTTTAAAAAATAGATTTGATATAAAGATTTACATACTCATAAATAGAGAATGTGAAAAAAAAAAAAATCCCAAATGCAAATGGCATCCTTGAGCCGGCTGAAGCCCTCCCCCCAACCCCACGAGTCCAGCCATGCAGGGACTGGGAGGGGCCTGGCCGGAGTCATCCCTCTTTCACTCTGGCAGTCCCCTGGGAAGAAAGCAACTTAATTCAATATGAATTAGGAGCTCCTTTCAGCTCCCAGTCCAGGGCTGGTGTCCCTGGCTCAGTCCCCCTTCTGGGAGGCCACCTCTCCAGCACCACCAGGGGGCAGCATTTGTGTCCTTCCACAGAGACATCCCCAGCCTCCTGTTCCCTTGGACCCCCCTGGATAGCAGCCTGCCCTTGCCGCTGCCAGGACGCTCCCCGAAACCTCCCCTTGCCAGGGTCCCCCAGCCTGGTTGGCCCCTGACCGCACCTGCTCCTGCTCTTGGGTAATTTATAAACAAAGGAAGAGATTAAATTGTTCTCTTGCCCCGGAGGCAGGCCCCTGGCTGCTGGCAGCTAGCCAGGCTTGCCACAGGGAAGTAAAGAGAGGCAGTTTTGTTTTCTGTCTGGTCTCTGACTGAGGCCTAAGGCCTGAAGGGACACTTGGATCTCTCCTAACAGGATGCAGCAGGGCCCTGGTCATTTGTGCTTGAGAAGGGACCAGGAAGCTTCTCTGTAAGAAACGCTTCCCTCTAAGACCTGGAAGACCTCTAGGGACAGGGTGTGGGGTAAGGGCCAAGGGCTTCTTGCCAGGGATCCCAGAGGCAAAGCCCAAACTTAGGGTGCATCTAGTTGGGCCGTCTGTGAGATTCTGAATGATGCAAAAGCAAAAGGCAGGGTTGGAGAGGGACCATGTTGTTGTATGGGGGAGGGGTGGATGCCCAGGTCAAGAAGACCAGTTGGGCCTAGACAGGACAGAAGATGCTGGGAGAATGAGGTACTAGGCAGAAAACAAGGTGCCCAGGGGGCCAAGACCTTCAGGCTACACAGTTGGGGTAAGGCAGGCACAGCAGGCCAGTGTCTCAGTTATGGGATCGCAGGAAGGGAGGAGTGAGGAGAGGCCTCCCAGTGCTGACAGTCAAGAAAGAGACTCTGTGGGCCCAGGCCCAGCAGGGCTTCACTTCCTGTCCTGGGGAGGGAGGGAGCTGGCTCATGCTTCCAGGTCATGATGTCCCCATGCCTGCTCTGGGTCTTCGTGGCAGCCAGGACACCTCTGTCAAAAGAGGGGAGTGGCTTCTGTCTGCCCCCACTGACATCTTAAGGAAGGTGACTGTCACCCTGTGGGGTCCTGGCCATGAGGCAGGGGACAGTTGGGCTGTGCAGGGGTAGGCAGGGTCCGTACCTGTGCCCAGAGAGCCAGGACTGGGCTCCAACAGGTACAGCCAGGGCCTTCACTCTCACGGTCCCTTGCACATGCTCTGCTGTCCCCAAGACAGCTTGGACCGCCTGTCCAGCTTAGCTGGAAAGATCGTATGCCTCTCCTAAGCATACCATCATGAACCATGAGCCCTGACTGGAGGGAGCCGTCAACTTGGAATGCCCAGCTCGACCTAGAACTTTCGTTCTGACCCTGAAGAGCCAAGCAGTCTACCCTGCAGATGGAGCCAGGACACTGCAATGGAGGGGCTGGGGCAGCAGGCAGGGCCGGGAGAGGGGGAAGCGGGGGGGGCAACGTGGCTCTGTTGGGCCCCAACATTGCCAAAGCTGCTGCAGCCAGGATGCCCATCACACCCAGCCAACCATGGGGCTGGCTCCACTGGGCTGCCCCTCAATGCAAGCCCCTGCTCAGCAGCTCCTGGCCCCACTGGGCCACCTTCCTCACCTATGACCAGACCTAGCCATTCTATAGGCCACCTCCCTGTCCAAAAGGAAGCCTGGGGGCTGGGACATTTGGCCACAAGGGTCTAGCCCTGCTTGTCTCAATCAGCCAGAAGGGCACTGTGGATTCCTGGCCTTGCCTCCCTACACTGCCATGGGAGTTGGGAAGGCTGCTTTTTCCTCTTTTAAAAGGGGCTGGGGCAGCACAGAGCACTGCCAGGGCAGGCCAAGTGGGACACAGCCACCCAAGGGGCCTCAGAGGTGCATGCTGAAGATTGGGGGTGCTGAATGGGGCTCACACAGACAACTGGGATTGGCTTGGGAAGATGTTCCTGGGCCCCCACACCTAGTCACCTTAACCTCTGAGCTGCCCACTCAGTGTGCTGCTGTCTTCCAGGAGCCCCCACCCTAGATGTGAACCCCACCCCCAATAGACACAGGCAGTTGGACATCACGCCCTGGCCTGGCCCACCTGGGGATCTCCCTAAGTCAGACCCGGACAGGAGTTGCTCCTGAATGTGGTGACAAGCATGGCGCAAGGCTGCTCACCCCACGCTGGCCCTCAGACCTAAGCCTTGTGGATACAACGCAAGCATCTACTTTGACCTTAAATGCCCGCTTCCCTGTCTCAAGTCCCCAGCCTCAGACTTCTGAAGGCCTGAAGAATTAGCTAGTTTTACAACCTGAGTGCAAACACATTAAGCCCCAAGCCAGCAGTCTTCACCTGGCCATGGCCACAGCCCCATACTTGCACTGAGGACAAGGAGAAGCTACATGGAAATCCAGAAAACTCCATAGGTCTTGATAAGGCAGTGAGCCAGGCTCCAAGGAGATGCTTGAGTGCCTTGAAGCCGGCAGTGAGGGAAGGAGGTGCCAGGGAGATGTTCAGCCTTCCCCAGAGCCACGATTGGTCCCAAGTCTTGGTCTGGTCGCTCTTGGTCTCAGCTGCTGTGTACGGAGGCCCCGGAATGTTGCGGAAGAGACCAGAGCGCCTGCCCAATCCCTGGATAGCAGCAGATGCTGTCCAAGTTGCAACCAAGCCACAGTGGGCGAGGGTCAGAATCAGCGTGGGGACACAGGGAGCCACACACGCTGCTTGCGCTGCCAACCACACTGTATGCTTGGGCCAGTCCTGGAATGTGAAGAACGAGTAGGGCCAGCTGCAGTGGAAGGACGAGCCCCGCACCCTACTGTGGGCCAACAGGCCGCCTGCAGGGACGCGACGCTTCTTCCTTCTCTCCAGGACCTGAGGCACAGGTCTCAGGACCTCACCCAACTGCTCTGGTATTGCAGGTGCCCTGAAGGCTGGGCTTGGCAGGTCAGAGACAGAAAGAACAGAGGTAGAAGGGAGAAAGCAGAAAGGGCAGGGGTGGAGGGAGAGGAGGAAGGGAGAGGGAGGGGGATGGGACGTAAGGAGGCTCTGGCCCGCCCGCCTTGCCCGCCGGTCAGCACCCGCAGCCCCAGCTCTCGCCAATGTCCTTGCTGTCCAGTTGGATGTGGTCGGTGCTCTTCTCGCTGAACATGGGGCCCCCGTGCCGCATGATGAGCTCAGTGGCCACCCTCAGGAAGGCCTCCTCCACGTTGCTGGAGTCCTTGGCAGACGTCTCGATGGCACACAGGATGTCGTAGTGCTCGGCCAGGCTCTGTGCCTCTGCCAGGGGCACCTCCCGAAGCTCGCTGAGGTCCGACTTGTTCCCTGCAGAGGAGGGACAGGTTCAGTGTGAGGCCCACAGGTGCCAGGTGAGCCTGGCCCCAGCCAGGGAGGACACGCTGAGAGCCCAGCAGCACCCACTGCCCCTGCCAGCGATGGAGGAGCCCACCTGGTCAAGGAGCTCTTTTGCAAAGAACATTATCAGTTTCTCCTTTTTTTTCTTCTAAGAACCAGAAGCAGCAGAATCCCGTGAGGGGCTCCCAGGACCCTAGTGCAGGGAGGGGCACGGAGGGGGGGCACGGAGGGGCGGCACGGAGGAGAGCGCGGCATACTTGGCAGGCACTCCATAAACAGCGAGGCCCTGCTGATTTGCTGCTGACACCTTGACGTTATGCTCATCCTTTATCCTACCCTTTTCCTTTGCAATTTGTAAGTTCTCCATAAGGTCGGGGGGGTTAATAAAATAGCAATATTTGACTATCTGGCTTTTCCGCAAGAGCAGGCTGCCACTTCACCTTAGCATAAAACCTCTAGCCCCTCCTTGAAGGTGTGCGGGTGTTTTCATTACTTTCTACATAACGATCAACTGTTTCCTTGGCCCAATTTCTACATCTATCTATCTATCTATCTATCTATCTATCTATCTATCTATCTATCTATCTAATTATAGTTATAGTCATGGTTATTTGTGTGAGAGAGCTCAAGCGCAGGGCACTAGCTCCAACCTGCTCGCTCACCACCAATCCTACCGGTGAGAACTAGGCCGGGGAAGCATCTGCGAGTCAACAATTCAATTCATGTCTCTCATGCAGGTGGCAGGACCAACTGCTTAGAACTAAGTCAGAACTGGGTTACAAACCCAGATACTCTGAATATGGAATACAGTACATATTTTTTAAGATTTATTTTATTTTTACTGGAAAGTCAGATTTACAGAGAGAAGGAGAGACAGAGAGAAAGATCCTCTGTCCATTGGCTCATTCCTCAATTGGCTACAATGGATGGAGCTGAGCCCATCCGAAGCCAGCAGCCAGGAGTCACTCCCCTCCACCGCAATACCCCACGCAGGTGCAGGTCCCCAAAGTTCCAGGCCATCCTCTGCCATCCTCCCAGGCCACAAGCAGGGAGCCAGATGGAAAGTGGAGCAACAGGACACGAACCAGCACCCACATGGGATCCTGGTGGCTCCAAAGTGAGGACCTAGCCACTAAGCCATCACACTGGACCCAACAGTATTTTTTAAAGACTTTTTTTCTTTTCTTTGAAAGGCAGCGTGACAGAGAGAAACAGATGCAGAGAGATCTTCCATCTACTGGTTTGCTCCCCAGATGGCCACAACAGCCTGGGCTGGACTGCCGTGTGGATAGCAGCAGCCCAAGTTGTCATGTGAAGATGGCATTATTACAGAAACCTTAAAGCGTTTACTTCCTGTGCAAATGAAATGGCTTGGCATTTGAGATTCATATCCAAGAACACGAAAGAGGGGAGGTGATGAGGGCAGAGAGCCCCCAGGAGCCTGGACACGAGGTGCCAGTGCTGACGCTGGCGAGGCTAGGGGCTCCTGTGCCGATTCCATCTGTGGGGCTGCGCAGCATGCTGGCTCACAGAAGTGTTTAAAAAATGTCCTAGACAAAAGGGAAGCAGTTGGACCAGGTGAGAATGGCTCAGTTCCTGTAGGGGCAGCACGGCTCCAGCCAAGCACCCCACACCCCAGCTTGGCAGATTGCTTGAACCCCATGCCATCCTTGTCCCGGCCCATCTGTGTATTGCTGGGCCCCCAGACTTACACAGGACAGGACCCCTTCATCAAGGTGGGATGCTGGACCGGCTACCAGGCTATCACCTGGGGAAATGTCAGACATACACATCCGGTAGAGTATTCCCAAGCCTTGTGTGGGATTCAGAGGTTTGAGAAGAACCAAGCAGCCAGCTCTGCAGCTGACAGGTGTAGGCAAGCCACTGGGTCATGCTCACAGGTGGTGTGACCTTCCCAGGGCCCAGCACCACGCCCCCAGTCAGCCAGGGCTCTAAACGCTCCTGTGAATACCAGGGGAGAATGACACAGGGCTGCCCCTGGCCAACACTGATGTTAGCTCGTTCTTCTTCCCTCCTCCAGTTCCAGTTTATTTGAAAGGCAGAGAGAAAGAGAGAAACTGAGAGAGAGCTTCCCTCTGCTGGTTCACTCCCCAGATGGCCACAGCAGCAGACAGAAGCCAGGAGCCAGGAGCTTCTCTGGGTCTCCCACATGGATGACAACAGCTCGGGCACCTGGGCTGTCCTCCACTGCTTTCCCAGGCACATTAGCAGGGAGCTGGACCAGAAGTGGAGCTGCCTAGACTTGAACTGGTGCTTTATATAAGATGCCACATTGCAAGTGCTACAGTGCTGGCCTCTCCACCTCCAATTTGGAATGCCATATTGCTCTATATCCCACAGAGGGGAAGAGGGACCCTCCACAGATACCCCAATCTTCAGGTGCTCAAGTCTCTGATATAAAACAGCAGAGAGCTTGCATGAAATCTACACATATCCTCCATGTTGCACTGTATTACGGGAATGATGACAAGAAGGCCATGCACGTTCAGCCCAGATGCAAATCTTTTTCTTCCAAATACTTCTGGCTCATGTGTTGGAAAACTCCCTGAGATTCACAGCAGCAGCATCCAGCTCAGGGTTCAGACTTGGCTCTGTTGCACCCGGCCAGACCCTGCCCCTGTCTGTGTTCAGACTGACCTCCACTTATAAGACAGAAAGGACTTCTGGTCCCAGAGACCTCCCCACACTCTGCCAGCTCACCGATCAGCAGCTGCACGATGTTGGAGCCCGCGTACTTCCTAACATCCTCAATCCAGTGAGGCACCGACAGGAAGGAACTCCTCTTGGTGATGTCATATGCGAGGATGGCCCCGTTGGCACTGCGGTAGTAGCTCTGGGTGATGGTGCGGAACCGCTCCTGGCCGGCTGTGTCCCAAATCTGCAGCTAAAGAAACAGGGGGTCGGGTGGTGTGGGCCAAGTGCAAAGGACAGGGGAGCACACCACACTCACACCCAGAGCCGGGGTCCCTGGCCCCAAGGCGATCAGAGAGTGAGGCCCTCTGAGCCTTAGCAAGCCACTTGGGGGCTTCCCGAGGATAGAGGATGTGAAAGGAAGTGGGGAAACCTGTCTCAGGGTCTCAGGGAAAGGTGGAGTGTGACCTGGCTAGGGGTCTCTGTGTGCCCACGACACCGACTCTGCTGGGGACCTGGGCCCACCAGAGCCCAAGCACTCAGTGCTATGAGCTGTACCAGATGTACAAATCCAGATCCCGTTCCCTGCACAGTGCACCACGTCCCTGACCACGCCTCTAATCACTCCAGCATTGGAATTTTCTAATGACTTCACGGCAGTGGGAGGGGTGGTAGGAATGGGGCATGGAGTGCCCGCAGGAGCTGATGGGCAGTGCTCCTGGGAGGTCTTGAAGCACCGTGTAGTTTCCACCAGCTGCCCAGTATGGCCAAGGAACTTAGGGTCTTTTCCTGCCTTGGTCCCATTTAACAAATACATACTGGTGCCCTCTACTAAGGTCCCATAGGACTTGAGCTGTGTGCCCATGTGTGGGAGGAGCCTCCATGGCTTCTTTGATTTACTTTTTACAACATTAATTTATTTGGGGCCTGGCATGATAGCGTAGCAGCCAAAGTCCTCGTCTTGAACGTGCTGGGATCCCGTATGGGCGCCGGTTCTAATCCCAGCGGCCCCATTTCCCATCCAGCTCCCTGCTTGTGGCCTGGGAAAGCAATCAAGGACAGCCCAAAGCCTTGGGACCCTGCATCCATGAGGGAGACCTGGAAGAAGCTCCTAGCTCTTGGCTTCGGATTGGCTCAGCTCCAGCTGTTGCAGCCGCTTGGGGAGTGAACCATTGGAGGGAAGATCTTCCTCTCTATTTCTCCTCCTCTCTGTATATCTGCCTTTCCAATAAATAATAATAATAATAATAAATCTTAAAGAAAAACATTAATTTATTTGCAAGTCAGACTTACACAGAGAAAGACAGACAGATCTTTCTACCACTGTTTTATTTCTTGAGTGCCTGCAGTGGCCAGGCCTAAGCCAGGTGGACGCCAGGAGATTTTATCCAGGTATCCCCTCCTGACTAGCAGGGACCCAACACTTGGGTTATTTATCCTGCTCTGCTTTGCCCAGATCATGAGCAGGCAGCTGGATCAGAAGTGTGCCAGCCAGACACGAACCAGTGCCTGGAGGGAATACTGGCATCACAGGCAGCGGCTTTGCGGGCTATACCTCCATGATGCTGCCCCCGCCCCATCCTGGCTTCCTTTAGAAGCAGCAGCCTGGCAGGATGGATACCAGATGGCATGGAGAGAGTTGTACCAGCTCGCCAGGCAAGGCCCAGACCTCCATGTGACTGAAATAGAGGCTACTCAATCTGGGGGAAGCTGACTGGCTCTGAGACTGGGAGATCCAATCGTGGGTGAACATCCTGGGGGCAGGTGCCAGGGTTCCGGGTGACAACAGCCTCAGGGTTTGCGCTTGCCCCCCTGCTCCATCAATCATAGGTTGCCAGGGCTCCCTGGGGAGGGATGCTGGCCGGGGCCTGCTGCACGCTGCGGGTCACTGGTCCTCTGGGTGCAAGCTCTCTGCTGTCTAGTTGATCTGGGATGGGAGCAGCAGTGAGACCTCCTACACCTCCCAAAGGCAGGGTCCCCTGACAGAAGTCTGTGAGTCACAGCTCTAGGCCAAAGATGTGCCAAACAAACTCCCTTTCCTGAGACTTCCTCTTTAGTCCTCAGGCTCCAGAGAAATGCACCTTCTAGCTCACAGTATCTCAAGCTCTTACGGCATTAGAGGGTGATGTGGGTACTGCACAGGCCCAAGTGCCAGACCATCAGGGCCTCATCTCCACTCCGACGGGAGAACCCAGCATTTGAAAGACAAAGGCTGAACAGCAGAAAGCAGCAGCTAGGGGACCTACACTGTGAGGGGACCACTGTTTGTGAGGTCCGCAGCCCACGCTGCAGTGCCATTTTGAATCCTGGATGCTCTGTTTCTAATCCAGCTCCCTGCTAATACACCTGAGAAAACAGTAGACGATGATTCAAGTGATTGGGTCCCTGCCACCGATGTGGGAGGTTTAATGGGGTTTCAGACTCCTGGCTTCAGCCGGGCCCAGATCTGGCTGTTGTGGCCATTAGAGGAACGAACTAGCAAATGCTATACCCCCCACACCGGCCACCACTGCCCATTCTGGCATTCTTGCCTTTCAAATAAGTAAAAACCTTTTTAAAAAAAAAAAAAAAAAATTTATTTTTATTGGAAAGGCAGCTATACAGAGAGGAGATACAGGGAGAAAGATCTATTCACTGATTCACTCCCCAAGTGCCCACAATGGCCCGAGCTGAGCCAATCTGAAGCCAGGAGCCCTGAGCCGCTTCCAGGTCTCCCACACGGGTGCAGGGTCCCAAGACTTTGGCCCATCCTCAACTGCTTTCTCAGGCCACAAGCAGGGAGCTCGATGGGAAGCGGGATCGGCAGGACACGAACTGGCGCCAACATGGGATCCCAGCGCACGCAAGGTGAGGACTTTAACCACTAGGCTATCACACCAGGTCTATAAAAACTAATTTCTAAAGCGACTGAGATGACACAGAAATGATGCAGAGCTCTAAGTCCACAACAGTCAGCGGTACCTTCATAAATAGGAAAATAAGAACTCTATGCTTGGGTGGAGTGTGTTCAGAGACAAGAAAAAAAGGACCCTCAGAAATTAAAATCATAACACCAATGAATAATGATACACAGGGTAGGAATATAAAGTCTCTTTCTACAGCAGAGGAAAAAATTAAAATGGGATGGAAGATAGAAAAGAACATTACCAAATCAATCTAGGAAATCAGGACAATAAGAATAGTAGAAAAGAGAGAGAAGTGAAAGAAAAAAACAAAGTATGTGTATGTGTGTTGCAAAAATAAGAGAGAAAAAGCCAAACAAATACTTCAACAGAATTGTTTCCCAGGAAACAGGCACTTGCAGCACGTTGAGCGATCTCTTAGGATGCCTGAGTTGCAGACTGGAGTGCCTGGCATCAAGTCCCACCTCTGCTTCTGGTGCAGCATTCTGCTGGTGCCCCTGGAGGCAGCAGGTGATGGCTCATGAACTTGGCCCCCTGGCTCCTGGCTCCAGCCTGGCCCAGTCCCAGTCTTTATTGGGACTTGGGGGAATGAACCATCAGATGGAAAAATCTCCCTGTCTTCCTTTCAAATAAAAATAAACTTCTTCTAAGTTCTCCAGAACTCATTTGAACGGACTCATTAAGTGAGCATGCAGACACCGGAAGAAACCACACCTAGTACAGCAAGCACATGACTAGAAATTCCAGAACAAAACCCAAAGATCCACATGGCATTAAGGGCTTTCCCCCACCCCTTCTTTTAAAGACTGACTGACTTCACTTGAAAGTCAGAGTTACAGAGAATAGAGCGAGAGACACAAAGAGAGATCCTCCATCCTTGGTTGACTCCCCAGATGGCCACGACAGGAGCTGTGCTGGTCAGAAGCTGGGAGCCATGAATGTTTGGGTCTCGCACGTGGGTGCAGGGGTCCAAGGCCTTGGGCCGTCCTCCACGACCCTCCCAGGCCATTAGTAGGGAGCTCTGCCTATATGGGATGTGGTGCCTTGGGCAAAGACTAACTTGCTACACTCCCGCACTGGCCCCGGCATTAAATTTTTAATCAAATGTCTTAAAACTATTTCTAGGGACCACCAAGAATCCTGCCAAAGTGTAACTGCTTCAGCATTGAAGACACACCTGGAAAGAGGTTGTGCAGTGCTGGTGGACACTTAAGTTCCAAGGCAGACACAGTGAAGTGGCCTCTGTAGTGAGTGGACCTCTTTAGCAGCCCATGTATGGACCTGGGACATTAGCAAGGATACCTGTGCGGGAGGCCCATGCTAGGATAAGGCCGGCCCTCCAGTAAGACCTGCTCTAACACAGCCTGAAGCTACACTCTGACAGGAGCCCTGGAGGGGAGCTGAGGAGAGCTGCTTACAGGTCCTTACAAAACAGAGAAACAGGCCCCTGCAAGATAAGAGTAGTGGTTAAAGTCCTCGCCTTGGATGCGCTGGGATCCCATGTGGGCGCTGGTTCTGGTTCTGGTGGCCTCGCTTCCCGTCCAGCTCCCTGCCTGTAGCCAGAGAGGGCAGTTGAGCACAGCCCACAGCTTTAGGACCCTGCACTCGCATGGAAGACCCGGAAGAAGCTCCTGGCTTCGGATCAGCTTAGCTCTGGTCATTTTGTCACTTGGGGAGTGAACCAGCAGACAGAAGATCTTCCTCTCTGAATCTTCTCTCTATATATCTCCCTTTCCAATAAAAATAAATAAATCTTTAAAAATGATTGATCTAACCTGTTAAATACTAATGTAAAATTAAAATTTTTTAAATATTTTTTAAAAAGGTGAAATAAGAGGGCCCAGCGCGGTGGCGCAAGTGGTTAAGTCCTCGCCTTGCACGCCCGGGATCCCATATGGGCGCCGGTTCTAATCCCGGCAGCCCCGCTTCCCTTCCAGCTCCCTGCCTGTGGCCTGGGAAAGCAGTCGAGGACGGCCCAAAGCTTTGGGACCCTGCACCCGCGTGGGAGACCCGGAAGAGGCTCCCAGCTTCGGATCGGCATAGCATCGGCCATTGTGCTCACTTGGGGAGTGAATCATCGGGCGGAAGATCTTCCTCTCTGCCTCTCCTCTCTGTATATCCGCCTTTCCAATAAAAACATAATAAAAAATAAATCTTTTTTTAAAAAATATTTATTTATTTATTTTCATTGGAAAGTCAGATTTACAGAGAGGAAGATCTTCTGTCTGCTGATTCACTCCCCCAGTGTCCGCAACGACACTGATCTGAAGCCAGGAGCCAGGAGCCTCTTCCAGGTCTGCCACACGTGTGCAGAGTCCCAACCCTTTGGGCCATCCTCAGCTACATTCGC